AGAGCTAAAAGTTTCAAATTTTCTTTTGTTTTTATCCTCTTGTAAGCAGCCACTTGACAGATGATAGAGTGGAAATTGGATAATATGGTGTTGTAACATTATCGTGTTCCTGAGTTGTACTAGAGACAGAGATTTCTTAATGGGAAGTACCAGAGTTTATCTTGAAATTGACTTTTTGCATGAATAAAACATTTAAAAGTCTCTGTAGTTACCATATGCTGATGAGACAAAATTTTGGCCCAATACGATAAGCTCTCGTAAGTGACCACCTCCCGTAAACAACCACCTAGACTTGACATTTTGTGTGGTCACTTATGGGAGGTTCAACTACAGGTATTATCCTTTAGACTTGTGATGTTAATATAATAACCTGATTATTGAGGATCTAGTTTTGCGCTGAAGACATTTATATGTTTAGTCTGAGTTTTATAATGCAGTATTATGTTAAAACTTATGCATTGTCACCCATTTGACAGACTACACCACTTCCAAATATTAAACTAAACATCTTGAAAATTAATCAGTGCCCTTCCCCATATCCCTCCAAAAAAAATAGCCTTGTGAACAAGTACAAACTCAGGACTTGTTATAGAGAATTTTAGGATATTTCAACATAGAACATTGTCTAGAAAAAAAATACCTCACCCTATATTGCTGAATTTCCCGTTCTAAATGGGTAATTTCATCGATTAATTCCTGCTCTGTTAAAAGAAAAATACACGGTTAAACTGCTGCAAGTACCCACCAGCACTGAAGGTATTAAAGAGTCAAATACACTGACATGATTTTGTTGATCTTGTATTTTTGGCATTACAAAGAACAAACCCTTTATTGGAGTATTATAAAACAATTCTACGGGTTTTTTTTTATTTTGTATAGCGAGATCGAGAATATTCAGGACATGATAACAATAAACACTTAATTACGAATTGTACCTCTTTCTCCGCCTCCACCTTTAGTCATTTCTTCAGCTGCCAGTTCAGCTTGTAATGATTTAACCTGTTAATTATTAGATACATAAGCTTATGTAGAGATAGTATCAATTAAATCAATTCTCGATAAGCATTTTTCAACAGAAAGTTTTGATCTGTTTGAAAGACTGCAAATAGACTTAATAGGAGATACGAAATGCTTGTCAAAAGTACGAGATGACTGAAAAACTACATGTAGCATTAATTTGTTAGTTACAAGTAAAGAACCCGCAAATTCATACCTTCATAACAGTCTTGGTGACCTCAAACAGTTTAATCATCTTGTTAACATCCACAGCTTCCTCCGAGTCCGGAGTAACTGAACCCTTATATTGTGAGAAAATTACAGTCATTTCAAATCATCTGTATGCTAAACTCTAAAAACAACTATCGATACGAAGCGAATGTTTGTAGTTTACCATCTCCAAGACGCCGTATATGTCATCAGCTGCATCGACGTCTTCTCGAAGTACCTCTACATCTACTCGCATAATTCTTCCCCAGTCTAAAGGCGGCATTTTTAAAAAGAAAGAATATCTAATGGTGGTTTTTATCCACTATTTGCGAAGGAATTAGATAACGTTTTCCGTGATCGTGAAAAAAACTCAATAAACTGTCTGGTCTACGCGCGCCGCCATTTTTGAAATCCACAAACTTTCCTGGTAACTTAGATATGACAACTGCTGCTATTGGTCGGCTGTAAATCAATCAGCCAATAAGAGACGTGCTTAGTTCAAGCGCTTTCAGCTGGGTTTTTTGTTAAACCGGGCTCTGTAGAACGAAGCTATATGAACTGGACTATAGAACTATGAACTAAACTATAGAGAAAAGACGCGCACAAGACTTATTATGCGTCTAGACGAACTATTTCTCGTAGTGGGTCGTTCAAGACGCATTTTGAAGGATATGAATTATCTGTAGAATGCGTACCCCATCCCAACAGAGACAACTCGATGACCTCGCCTTGCTCCCTTGTCCCGATCATTGACCGTACCACCCTCGGTAAAGAGAAAATTGACCCTTGACCCAAAGCCTTTTCCGCGGCCGGTTCCGATCGAGACATCACTAGCTGTTGTGCCAATAAGCGGACTTAGAAATGCTGTTAGAAAACGCTCGTTTTCAGCGCAATGCGCGGGCATTTTTGGAAATCAGGCATTTACCAGGGTTATGCCGATCGGGTTGATTTTCTAGGCGCAAACCGCTTCCTTTAACGTCTATTAACTATGCTCAGACATTAAAAGTGTCCAGGCAAATTAAACGTCTCTAACATAAAAAACGGAATAATTCGTCTCAGACGGATATTTCGCCTCAGAGAGATAATTCGTCTCAGACGTATAACCGGCCGTTTTCACACTAGAGACGGATAATCCGTCTAAGACGGGTTGTCCGTCCAGCACGGATAATCCGTCTCAGTGTGAAAACGGAACGGTGTTCATTTTAGACGGATAATCCGTCTATTTTTATCCGTCCGATTATCCGTCTATTTAGACGGATAAATAGACGGATTATCCGTGTAAAATGAACACCGTTCCGTTTTCACACTGAGACGGATTAGCCGTTTTCACACTAGAGACGGATAATCCATCTACGACGGGTCATCCGTCCATTACGGATAATTCGTTTTAGTGTGAAAACGGAACGGTGTTCACTTTAGACGGATAATCCGTCTATTTTTATCCGTCCGATTATCCG